AGGTTACAAGACCTGCCACTCATAATGCTAAGACAATGTTGTTCGGACAAGATGGGACGGATGCAAAGCCGGACCCTCCCCAATGTGCAAGCTGGGACACAGTGCGCGAAATCTCTGCGTCTTGCACGCTTTCGCGATTCTGCAACCAAACGAGCCCATTGCAGCCTCATCAGTCAAGAACACTTTACACATCATACGGCTGGCAAGCGGTAACACCTACGCCGACGCTGCGGTGCTGGCATGGTGGAGACAAGTGGCAGAACAGCAAGAACTTGTTGAGCAGCCTGCAAGCTGCACAGCGTTCGCAGGTTCACTGCCGAAGCCATAAAATTAAGTAAGTATGCTGCACAACCACGGAAATGCCTGGCTTGTCGCGGAGCGTTTCAGCAGCGCAGCTTGCATTCTAAGTCCTCCGCGAGTTTCGCAGACAACCTTGCAGACAAGCTAACCGGTGTCCCCAAGCCCAAGATTTCATTGCATGCAGTTCACGTCCAGTCCTGAAGCTGAAGCTTACGCTAAAGGTCGGGGTTTCGAACTGTGAAGTTTCGGCGCATCATCCAAGTCACGCGATGCCAAAGCCGTACCGCAAGCAAGCAGGCGAGGAAGGTCCTCAAAATGCGAGTGAGGCCCCAAAAGACAGGAAATACTATCATCTCAAGCAGGCTTTTGCTGTTCCGGAACACATGTCTGAAGAGAAGATATCATCGCAGCACCAGACCAAATCACAAGGATGCAAGCCGCTTGATCGCAACGTTTTGCTACCCGCTTTGGATTGCAAAGTTGTGAGCAGGCCGAAATGGTCACTCAAGAAAAGACGCCCTGCACTGGAAGATGTCTCTTCTGGCGTTGACGTGGCATCCAGCTCGAAGTCGATACTCTTTCGGTATCCCGGCTGTGGCCGCTTTGGAGTCGGGGGTCGCTGAAGCCAGTCTTCCTCCATGGGCGTGAGTTTAACCAAATGGTTCAACGGCTCATCGCCCACAAGGTGGATCTGTTTGGTTGTCCAAGCTTCCAGCTTCACCATGACACGATCGTAGCGCATCTGCTCGTACTCCCCAATGTAGGGGTTCAGTTTAGAATCGAAGGTTTTGCCGGGCTCGCCTGGTCGTAGAGTCGGCCAGAGATCTATGAAGTCCTGGAGGAGGCCCAGTGCAGCATTTTCCAACGGCTCATGCGGAGCCTTGAAGTTTCGTTCTGAGTCGAAGTTGAAGTCGCCCACCAACATCACGTTGGAGCAGGGCGCCAAGATGCTGGCGCACTGGCGAAGCTGCTCCTCCCGCATGCGAGGATTCGCCAAGGATTCAAGGTGCACAGTCCCAACGGTGAGCCCTGGTACCTTTACCAGCAATAGCGAGCGAGACATGGCAGTGGGCAGTGGGTGCAACTCGAACTGAGCGCTCATTCCCGGCTGGACAAAAGCCATGACCTCGCAAGGGATGTCCTCGAACAACGTTTTCTGTTGACCCCTTTTCCAGGAAGTAGTACCAGCAACACTTTCTAAATGAAAGCTCTCTGAGGCACCCCATAAGGCTGTACAGTCGCGCTGTCGGGGCTGGAGTCAGAGCACTGCCATCCAGGCAAACCCTCCCGCAGTTGCCGGGCGACCTGTCACTGCCACGTTGCAAGGGGGAGAAACGAGAGCAGGTCCGGAAGGCCTGGCCTGGGGCACGACTTCCTGGAAGCAGCAAACAGAAGGCGACAGGGAACGTATCACCTTCGGGCAAAGCCTGTCTCTCCGCACAAAGACATTGTTGCCAGAGTGATGTCCCAGCGTGCCTCAAGGAGTGCACGCGTTCGAGCCTCCTGCAGCTTCAGATCGAACCAAAGGTTGAGCGTCAGCACGGTGAGGTCCATTCAGCACGGTCCATAGCAGGCCACACGGCTTGACGGGCAACAAATCACCGCTTCGCGACGTTAAACTCGTACTTATAGTCTTGGAAACCCAACCAGTCCCTAACCGCGGCGGGTCCTCTTGCCGCTTCACGCTTTGAGCGGCTACAGCTAATAGTGACAACGCAATCTGTAACTGCGGGACGGTCTTAAAGGAATGATGGTCTGGGCTGATCTGAAGACATGAGCCATCAAGCTTGACCTCACACATGTAAAGCGAAACTATCTCTCATTCTACAGCAGACACATGTGTGGGAAGTGTTGACAGTGACCGCATGCCGCTTCGCTGATCTCTGCCGAATCCTCCGCGATTTGGCGGTCAGCTAACGTGCTGCCAGGTTTCGTTGGCCGACTCTTTCGAGTATGATCGAAATCTCTGCAAAAGCCTCCGGCCCAAAGTCCACATGCAACTATCATGCAACTACAGGCAGCCGGCCCGGTCCCGCCTGAGAGAAGCCTTTGGCGCGCAGCTTCTCCCCACCAGGCTGTCAAGAGCTTCGACTGTGCCTTCCGTTGGCGCCAGTTCCTCACTGGACAATGGATGCAAAAAGGCCTGATCTCTCTCTCTCTCTCTCTGCTGGGAGTGTCATGGACAAGCCGTGAGCCCTGGCTTATAGTCATAACAACGAAGTCATCTATCAACTTGTCAGCCAAGAGTCATCCATATCATTATCGACCGTTGACCGCATCCTAAGCGCATGCTTGACCGCCACCAGCCGAAGAACCTCACTTCAGCTTTCTGCTTTGCTTCACCCTGACTTGGATGCCGTGTTTTGGGACCTTACCTCTGCCAAGTGGCGCTATGGCCGTGACCATGCCTTTGTGGTCTCTAGCGCGAACTTTGCACGTCAGCAGATGTACCCATGCAGCTTGCCTTGGCTTGGGCATCGAGTGGCTCCGACCCAACACTGCACGAACGATGACTGCGGCAGAAATTGCCCACTTGTCGAGTCCTGCTCTTCTCTCACAAATGGCCCAGCCTCCCATGAGCGGCGGCCATGCGCCAACAAAGAACGACCGGCCGCAATGAGTTGTGACGGTGGCGTGCCCTGGCAAGGCTTGGACTTCGGGCCTAGATCCTGAGAGGGTATGGAAGCGACATGTGAGGGCCTGCTTGCGAAATCCTCCTGCTGCCGGAGCCGCAAGGCTCCTGCAGAAACTGCTGAAAGGAACCAGTGTGGGAGTGACTGTGTGTTCGTGAGCTCTAATTTTGACCCCCGGAACCTTTACGACACCTTATCTCTGTACCAGTCCTTCGCACACCCGAAATGCAATCTGCTCGGATTGAGTTCCCGTGTGCTGCTCTCTGCAACATGCATGAACAGTCCGACATAGTAGTATCTGCTGTAACATGGTCGTATTTTGCCTTTCGCTCGGCACCACTGGCCATGATATTTCATGTCTATGACTCTTTTGACGACTGCAGATCTCTATGAGGATATCCATCCATTTTGCTCCTCTCTCTTCCTCCAGCTCTCGTCGAAATTGCAGCATGCTGGCCTGAGCAAAGTGCCGCCTCGGCCAAGCATCACGACGACGACGCTACTACTGCTACTACTCCTGCTGCTGCTGCTGCTACTACTACTGGTGCTACTATTACTACTACTACTGCTACTGCTACTACTACTACTACTACTACTACTACTACCACTACCACCACTGCTAATACTACTACCTCTTACCTGTTACCTACTACCTACTACCTGCTACCTGCTGCCCACTACCTACTACCTACCACCCAGGACCTGCTACCTCCCACCCACCTCCTACCTCCTACTTGACAACAACAACAACAGCTACTACTACTACTACTACTACTACTACTACTACTATTACTACTACTACTACTACTGCTGCTAGTACTACTACTGCTACTACTGCTACTACTACTACTACTACTACTACTACTACTACTAGTACTAGTACTAGTATCGGTTCTAGTTCTAGTACTAGTACCAGTACAAGTGCTCCTGCTACTGATGTTGCTGCTGCCAGCTGCTACGCCGCTACTACGACGACGACGAACTACGACCGCTACTCCCAACAAAGGTCCTGGTAAAACTAGTACTGACTAGTGCCGCCACTTGTACCAGTGCTTGTGCTGGTGCTGGACGTATACGGGAGTCTTCATACTAATAGCAATGCAGAGATTGATGTATGCTATGGTTCGAGGGCTGAAACAACTGTCGTGTCGTCCGGGAAGATGAGTGTTACATCTGCCAAGAAATGCAACAGGGCTTGACTAAGCCGGGAGAGCCGGTAGCTTTACCACCGTCAAGCATCCCATGGTTGCACAAGCCGGAGGAACCGTACTGCTAGGAAGATTATGCCTTTTCTTGCGATTTTTGTTGAAAGTCACTCCCCAGGTGTCAATTCGTTCCAGGGAACACTTGTTGTCGGTAAGCAATCCGACGTCGTTTCCTTTTCGGCCTCCTCCCCGACACACCGCCCAGGATGGTCTGGCCCCGACCCGCTTCCCGACCCAGATTGGAGGCCTTTGACTCCGCCTTCGTGACAAGAACACTTGACTCCCCTAGTCCAGAACTTGGGAGTATATCTAAATCCGGAAATCCAAGGCACTGCTCTTGCAAGGCCGCTTGTCGCAGGACTGCGAAGGCGCGCCCCAGGAGAGCACAGTGGCTGGCGGCTTCCCACTTCCTTTGCTTGGCTTGGTTTTAGATACTTTTGGGGCTGACAGTTTCAGTCTTGCTGCTTGGCGGAGCTTTGAGCCCGAGGTATCTAGAAGAGGTTGCACTTGAGACTCAGGACCAAAAATATGAAGGGGCTTGAGACAAAAACTTCGTCAGGTGGCGGCAACATGGCCTCGGCCACCAGCTGAGTGAGCTTCTTTCCCTGCATTTGGAAAACGATCTCCCGCTTTCTGCTCCTGCTGCGCTCTACCTCCAAGCGGAAGACCTGGAAGACCTTCCGCTCTGTTTGTCAAGAGGTTTTCTACAGACTGCCACTTCAATCTCGGGCCTGGAGCAGCCAGACATCCGAGGGAGTAGAGTGCAGTAGGGCTCGCCGTGCCGCCACCGCCTCTGGATCCATGAACGCTTTCACTCGGCGAGCCTCATCAGGTCAAGACGGCACAAAACCTGAACAGGACCCTCCCACACAAAAGAGCCAAAAGCCAGTGCCTTCCGATCTCCACGGGTCATAGCGAAGCCGCGCCAGCCGGCGTGGAGATAGCGATTCCGACGCAGTGCAGCCAACTGCCAACAGCTCTCTTACAAGAAGCCTTCGAAGACTTCATCTGCTCCGGTCCTCCCGGCCTGGGAAGAAAGCTGCTCCTGCCACTTGGAGGCACGGGCCCGCTGCCGGCCTCGGCTTCTCAGTGGCGAGCAGACCGGGGGGCGAATCGCGAAGCTCCCAGCGAATTAGAGCCAAGCCGCTCTGGCATGCGAGGCGCGACCACCTGCACAGTGCAACCTGAGGTGGACGGCAACAGCGGTTGGACAGCGCAAGCCGCTGCCTAGTGGAGCCTTGGCATCTCTCTAACGTACTAACGG